GTCTTTATTTCACATTCATTCACAAATGAGAGCTTAGCAGGATATAATATTCTGGGCTTGCAATTTTTCTTTCTTAGCACCTGTGCTATGTCTCGCCATTCCCTCATAGCCTGTAGTGTTCTGATGAGAAGTCTGCTGTGAGTCTGATTGGAGATCCTCTGAGAGTAATCTGACGTTTCTCTCTTGCACATTTTAGGATCTTTTCTTATGTTTCACTGTGGTGAGTTTAATTACCACATGTCGTAGTGAGGATCTCTTTTGGTCATGTTTATTGGGGGTTCTATGAGCTTCCTGTACTAGGATGTCTCTGTCCTTCTCCAAACCTGGAAGTTCTCTGCTAGTATCTCACTACAAAGGCATTCTAATCCTTTCTCTTTCTCCATGCCTTCAGGAACTCCTAGAACTCGAATGTTGGTTTTTTTAATAGTATCCTGTAGATTCCCAACAATATTTTTATTTCTAATTTCCTCTTCTTTTCTTTGGTTTGACTGTATGTTTTCCTGTCCTCTATCTTCTAAGTCCGAATTCTCTCTTCTGCTTCACCCATTCTGTTTTTAAGGCTTTCTAATGTGTTTGTCATTTGATCTATTGAGCTCTTCATTTCATTTTGATTTCTCTTCACTATCACACTTTCCTGCTCTACTAGTTTCTGCGTTTCATTTTGATTCTTCCTTAAAATTTCATTTTCATGAGAGAGATTTTCAATCCTGTCCATTAAGGATTTCTGTAGTTCAAGGATTTGCTTTTGAAAACTCCTAAATGTTCTTATCATAAATTTTTTGAAATCCGTATCTTGCATTTCTTCTATCTCATCATCTTCATGATCTTTGCTTGGGGTGTTTTGTTTATTTGGAGCATCATAGTGTCATCGTTGGTCTTGTTCCCTCGATTTCTGTGTTTGCTTGGCATAGTTAATTCTTCTTTCGTCATGTGCGTTTTTTTTTTTTTTTTTTATTTTATACTATGTCTGTGTAAGTGGACTGCCTGCTGTTGGAGGAGCCTTGGAGGCTTGAGATGGGTGTGGCCTGAGAGCTCTGCTTGGTTCTTCCGGGTTATGGGTGTGCAAACGTGACACCCTCATGTTATGCGTGGTAAATCTCTCTCTATTTATTTATTTATTTATTTATTTATTTATTTATTTATTCAGGGGTAAGTAATACCGCACCGCACAGCTGTGCAGAATTGATGGTATTTAGCTTCCAGTCTCTGGCTTCTACCCAAAGAGTCTGTGCAGGCTCTGTTTCTCCTCTGGACTCCCTGAGTTGCCTAGGCTACTGAATTGTAGTGACTCAGTTCCTTAGCTTTCCCCTGTTGTTTAAATCGAGAGGGGGCCTGCTCTTTGTCTCTTGCAAATTCTTGCAAACTCTTGCAAGCCTTGCAGAGAGAAACCCCCCACCTTTTTTTCTTTCTCTCGGGTAGTGTCCGGTGCACTTTCCCACTCCCCTCTAGATTTGACTGCCGTTTCCCTGCCAATGTCTCAGGTTATGAGCTCACCTCCCCTTCCAGCGCCGATGTGTGGACTCAGAGCCCTGGGCGTCCCAACTCTCCCCGCTGGTGTCTGTGTGACATGCACTCCCCTTTCTGCACTGGCGCGCAGACCCTGCGGCTCCCGCGGCTCGGCTTCCACAGTGGGCGACCTTGTTCTCCCAGTAGGTCCTCCGAGTCACAGCCACTATATCCAGAAGAGTTTCCTCTGCAATTTTTTCTGGTCTTTTTCTGAGGCTACTAACTCCACTTTTATTAAACTAAATTTTCCCGGACTATCGGTGTGCACCCTCACTATTCCCCATCTTGGCTCCACCCCGATTCAATTTTTAAATGTATCTATATCTTTAAGCATATCAAATGTCAAAATGAGATTATTGAGAAAACACATGGTAATAGAGAATTATTAGATTTATTTCAAAAATTCTTATTGAATTTTTATAGGCTCTCAAAACTTGATGTAGCAATCTATTTTTTCTGGGACCACATTTGTTCCTTTGTCCACTCCTGTTAGCATTATTTGGCAAAAGTTGTACATTGAGGTACACGTGAGAGAATTATTACTCAATTTTCCTGGCCAGTTTTAGGTAAGAAATCAGGAAACAACCACAACCACCACAACAAACACCACTTTCTCAAGAGCATTTGCAGATCAGTTCTGCAGACTTCAAACGTTTTCAGGTTTGGAATGTTTAGACTACCGCTCTCATGCTAAATTCTCAGTGGCTTTCTTTCTATTTCTGAATTGCTTTTTACAAACAGAATGCAGCATAAGGAACTGACAGCAAAATACACTGTTCCCCAGATGGTTCAAATAATAACTATGCCAATTGTTTGTATTTATATTGCAAACATCATATTTTCACCTAAGTATCACTTACCTCAAATGTTAACTGAATAGTTTTATAGAATTGTTTTTTAAGATTTATTTTCTTTGAGAGGCAGAGTTATTCTACAAAAAGAAATAGATATCTTCAATACAAGCATAATTTTTATTCCTTCAAGTGATAGAGAAGTATGTTTTGTACCTTCAATTTGAACAGGATCTCCCCAAAATTAAATTAGATATATTGTTTACCAGTGTGATAAAATGTATTCACAAAGAGAAATATGATACAAAAATATAATTTACTTTATTTCTTGAATACTCATATATGTCTTGCTAGACTAAGAATAGAATCAATATATTTTGTCAATCTAATCATTCTGAAACAAAATCAAATAATGAGTAATTTGGAAATGTTTTGAATTATTTTTCTGTTTATTTCTATGGAGGAAGGAGGAATGATGGTAATGTTTCCAAATTCTTCTGGTTAAATGTGGAACAGTTAAAAAATAACATGATATAGCTGTAAGTAGGTCTTAGGCATCCAATGCATGTGCAACCATGCATGACATGAAATGTATTTAATACAATCCTTGACTTTTTTTTTAACAGGCAGAGTGGACAGTGAGAGAGAGAGAGACAGAGAGAAAGGTCTTCCTTTTTCCATTGGTTCACCCCCACAGTAGCCGGGATCCAGGTGCTTCTCCTGGTCTCCTGGGTGCAGGGCCCAAGCACTTGGACCATCCTCCACTGCCTTCCTGGGCCATAGCAGAGAGCTGAACAGGAAGAGGAGCAACCAGGACAGAGCTGGCACCCTGACTGGGACTAGAACCCTGTGTGCTGGCACTGCAGGTGGAGGATTAGCCTATTGAGCCACAGCGCCGGCCTATAGTCGTTGACTTCTGATACCTGTGGTGTCCATTCCAATGAAGATTCTGATTGGCTAGCTCATGGTAACATCAAGGACTCTGGTTGATGTGACTTTAAAACAACTATTGGATTGATTCACATATGTTAAACATAAATTTTAAAATATATGACTACTTTACTTATTAGTTGTGGCAGTTAGTGTTACCTGTTCCCTTTTATCTTTGCTTTGTAAAACACACAAAAACATTCATTTGCCATATTCTTCAAATTAAGAAAATGGTTTACTGTATGATGATGTTTAGATTCTCTTTGATCACCCAAGGATTGATTTTTTCTTGCCATAATAAATCTACAAATGAAAACCTGTGACTCATTAATGATCTTGATCTGAATTAGTACAGAGCAGATGAGTCTGGGGCACTCTTAGATATGAATATTAAAATCTATAGAAATTAAAGAAATTACAATGGGGAGACCAAAATTATTTATAAAGGATCATTTATTAAACATTTTTCACAAAATACAAAGATGGTTGTTCTGCAAGAATACATCACATATTAAAAATAATGTGTTTTTACTGAATTTAATTTGAAGACATTCAGAATTGTTTTGTCTATCCCTTGGGAGCCCATTTGGCTTTGCTCCTTGTCTGACACCATTTCTAAGAAGGAAGAAACATTTTCTTGTTAATTAAGTCATATTCATAACAGCTTTAATTTTATAGAAATAAAATCACAGTGTCTGCCACAACAAAGCTCTTCCACAAAGTAACTGATTTGCCTATGATCCTATTTTTTTTTCAAGCTACAAGATAGGATAAATCAAGGAGCTAGGTAAGTTGTATAATAACGTATTAGCAGCAGTGATAGTAAATGCAACATAACATTTGTTTTGTCTGTGGTACAAGAATATGTCGTATTAGACTACTGTATTTTTCTCTACTTGTACACAAGTAAGTGCATACGGATTCCAGAATGACACATGCATAAAAGGCAGGAAGTGGCCTGGCTGGCATTATCAGTGCCTATTTTCATCAGCTAATATGAATGAATTGCTAAAATTAGTGAAGACAGGAAAATGACTTAAGGATAATATATACAGAGTTAAACTACATCCTTTTTAAAATCTACTTGAATGATCTCAGGCACTTTGGCTGTTCAGGATAAAAGGTTTTATGTTTTATTCTTGATAGCAATTTCTCAGTACAAGCAAAAGCAAATACCTGCCCACTGTCATAAACATGAACTCGTACATCTGAGAGGGTAAAGTAAGTTCATCTTCAACGTTTTCACTCTGGAGGCATCTCGTGTAGAAATGTGTCATAATTTGTTCTTAGTACCTTTAATTTTTCAGTGCAAGCAAAGGCAAACATACCTGCTCACTGTCATACACACAACCAAACATCTCTGGACTATTCAAAGCAAATTCACCTTCTGATTTTCATCATGGAAACATCTTTGATAAGTGGCACTTCCTTCCTCTATAAATCATGCAAAACAGACCCATGATGCCTGAATTTGATAATATTAAAAATCATGGCCATGGCCATCTCTCTGTGTAAACTCTGTTGGGTAAGGCTTGCCATCACGGTGTTTCTTTCCTGAGGATGGAGCTGGTCCTGTCTGTGTGGATCATAAGTGTGCATGCTCGGAGCTGTGGTCACTGTTGTGGCTGTCTTCATTGTCCAGAGAGTCCCCTGTTTGCTGGAGCGTGGCCACCAATCCCTGACAGCTCTGAAGGGAGCAGGGTTCCTTTCTTCACGTTCACCAGTTCCTTTTCTCAGGCAGCAGTGCCCAGCTGGCCCAATTTTACCCTCTTCCTCTTCATCCCTGTTCTGGAACCACACTTTCACCTTGGACAAAGAAAGGAAACACACGAAGCAAAACAGAACATTAAATTCAAGTGCTTTCTCCTTTTGGTCTGCCTAGGAGAACCAGATTCTCAAAGGTTTACACGAAGACACCATGGAAGAGGGTAAATATAAAAATAATCCCACCCTGAGTTTAATCAGGTTGCATGTTTGTGATAATAATTTATAAACATTCAGAAGATGCACACAAATGATTACCTTTCATATTTAACAACAAAGAATTCATTGTAGTATTACCTCCCAGTTTTTGCTTTGTGGATTTAAAAATTAAAAATCACAATAATAAGAGAAGTAGACAAGGGCTTATCATTCAGGATGTCTCCAAGGTATTTGGTTCTGCTCTTGCATGATAAACCTGTGATGGAACCTATGTGGATACGTAGCCAGGAGCTTCAATAGGTTGAATGTTATGTAATGTTCATCTTAACACACTAATGTGAAAAAAAAATGTTTCCCAAGGTTGTATCAGTTTAGTTTTCTTATTCATTCCAGGGCATAAAGGTTCAAGTTCACCCAAATCTTTGCCTGCATTTGGATTTACCAGGTTCAACTTTTTTTTTACAACACAATGACAATAAATGTTATCTTACTGTGCTTTTATTTTGCCTTTCCTGTTTTCTAATGGAGTCAAGTATCTTTGAAGAGTTTAGGATCCAGAGTTGGTGCCCATGTCCCATGCTTGTAGCACCAGGAGTCCTGGCTGCTCTGTGTCCAATTCACTCCCGTTGCTGCTACCTGCGAAAGTGCTGCCCATTTGGGGAGTGAGCCAGTGTATGGAAGGCCTCTCTCTCTCATTTCTCATAGATAAATTAACGTTCTTTTTTTAAAAAATAATGGCCCACTGTAGTGCTTCTATGAAATACCTCCCTGTATCTGGTATGAATTCTTTTAAAATTAATCTTGCTCTTTATGGACTTTAAAATGTCTGAGTCCTAATTTAATACCTTCAGTTGTATGGAAGCTACTATCTTCTCTGTTTTGTGCCCTCCCCTTTTCTTGGAGTATTTGGTTGATGATCAGAAGCTCTAATGTATTTATATTTACACACTGTTTCTTTAATGGTTAGAGCTATTGAAGGATACTCTCTGCTGAGGCCACAAATGTATTCTACATTTTCAAAGGTTTAAGGTTTGCATTTCAAATTGAACCTGTCAAACAGGAAGTATTGATTTTAGTATACAGAGGAAAGCAATGCTTCCATTTATTCTGTGGCATAACAGTTATGCTTTGGGCCAGTGCTGTGGTGCAGTGGGGTTAACGCCCTGGCCTGAAGTACCAGCATCCCATATGGTGCCAGTTCGAGACCTGGCTGCTCCACTTCCATGATCCAGCTCTCTGCTGTGGCCTGCAAAGCAGTAGAAGATTGCCCAAGTCTTTGGGTCCCTGTACACATGGAGAAGATTGGGAAGAAGCTCCTGGCTCCTGGCTCCTGATTCGAATCAGTGCAGCTCCAGCCATTGCAGCCAACTGGGAAGTGAACCAGTGGATGGAAGAGCTCTCTCTCTCTCTCTCTCTCTCTGCCTCCCCTCTCTCTGTGTAACTCTTTCAAATAAATAAATAAATATTTAAAAAGAACAAGTTGTTCTAGGTAGCTTTTTACGAAAGTCACCATTTTCTCAGTGATCACTGTTTCAATTCCATCATCAGTAAAGCTTCCATGTAGAAAGTGGCTTCAAAAAGCTCACAGAAAATGGAATTAAATGATAACTTCTTGTGTTCCAAGAGGTTTCTGAGGTTTTTTTTTTTCAAGATTTATTTTATTTATTTGAAAGTTATGCTAATGGAGACAGAGAGAGAAACAGAGAAAGAGAAAAATCTTCCATCTGTTGGTTCACTCCCCCAGTCAGATGAGCCCACAACCACGTCTGGGTCTCCCATGTGGGTGGCAGGGAGTAAGTACTCAGGGCATTGTCTGCTGCTCTCCCAGGTGCATTAGAAGGGAGTTGAATCTGAAGCAGAGCAGCCAGAATCAGGACTGGTGCTCCACATGGCATGCTGGTGTTACAAACAGAGGCTCAATGCCCTGCACAACAGCACTGGCCCCATCCTGAGCTTTTCAAGGCCCCTCCTTGCACAGCTTTCTGCTCTACTCTGTTCTGTCCCTGGGTCAGTTTTTACCTGTGAGAACATAATATTTTTCATTCTTGCTGTAATTTTATACCAGATCTTTGTATCTGATAGGGACAGGTCTGTTTCACCACCAAATATATTTCATTCTTTACACCAAATATATTTTGAATGTTCTGCATTTTCATATTTGAAATAATCTCAATTTCTGTGAATACACAGTGACAATGGGAATGTGATGAGAAATAACTCAAATTTCCAAAGGAATATTATGTCTGTAACCTTCAAATCACATGATTCATAAAAGTATCAATTCCTTAGACATTTACACAATTAAATACTGAAATTGAGATGATTCTTAACTAGGGATTGTCACTGCTTTCACTGCTGGTTCAATTAACATCATGTCTCATTTATTACCTATCTATACACTAGTCATTTGATAAAAATAATACAATATAGTAAAAATTTGATTTAAAGTTCAGTGGTGAGGGGTCAGCACTATGGCATAGCATGTAAAGCTGCCACCTGAAGTGCCAATATCCCAAATGGGTGCCAGTTCAAGTCCTGGTCACTCCACTTACAATTCAGCTCTCTGCTATGGCCTGAGAAAGCAGTGGGAAGATGGCCCAAGTTGTTGGGCCCTGCACCCATGTGGAGACCCAGAAGAAGATCCAGGACTCCTGGCTTCAGATTGGCTCAGCTCTGGCCATTGCTGCCATTTGGGGAGTGAATAGCGGATGGAAGACCTCTCTCTCTCCTCTCTCTCTCTCTCTCCCTCTTTTCTCTCTCTCTCTGCCTCTGCCTCTCTCTAACTCTCTGCCTTTCAATAAATAAGATTTAAAAATATTTGATGAGAACTGACATATTATTACTGCTTACTACTCATAAGGATCACTGCGTGCATCATGTTACAGCATATGTGCTACCTGTGCTTTATTTCTAATACACTTTCCCCTCATGTTGTGAACATTATTTCTATGTTATAAATGAGACAATTGAGGTAAAGTTTACATGAACATGACACAGATGGAAACTCTAACCCCAGTATTTAATCTAACAGCACGGTTTAAACACCTATGGTCTTTATCTGGCTCCAGAATTGGGGTTTGGTTTTTTTTATTTGAATTCTATCTCAAACTCCTGTTTTTAGAGCATTCAGGATAAGAAGGGTAAAGTACAGGATTGTGCAATGCGTGAGCACCATCCATATGGTGACTCCCATTCACGTAATTCCTCTACTTGCTGTGACTGGGTTGGTAAATGGGGCGCTATTTTCCTGCCCTGTACTTTAGGTAATTACACTACTCAGTCTAATCACCATGTGAGCTTGACAGTGCAGGTTGCATTAGATCTGTTGCACATGAGCTGGGTACTACTCTTGGCTTCACTTCTGAGTTTTTGTGTGAATTTGGGAAAACCACACTTTTCTCTGTCTCAATTTTCATATTTGTGATATTGGAATAATGAGGCTTTCAAGATTCTCCATAGGGATATTTTCCTCCATTGACGCATTCCAGATGGAAACAAAAAACAACATGTAAGTCATCATCATAATCACTGTCACCAAGACTGAAACATTCATGCAAAATAATCTTGACAGGAAACAAAAATGGGAGGAATAGAGTTATTGAAATCCATGCTTATGTACTTCTCTAGGAGAGGAGGTACAGTAATTCTGTAATACCAGCATCCATCTGTCATATGCAATTTCACATGAGAAAATTCTAAGAAGAAGGTACGGATTTTAGGAATACGACTTTGTATTTAAAAGAAAGTATGTCCATTGGTTTTCTTTCTCACCATATGACATTTTACCATTTAATTTTTAAAAATTATTTGTTTTTATTCATTTGAAAGGCAGAATGAGAGAGTGAGAATGAAAGAGATTATCTTCCATCTCTTTGTTTACTCCCCATAACCACAGGAGCCAGGAGTGGGCCATACCATAGTCAAGAGCCAAGAACTCCACCTGGGTCTCCCACCTGGGTGGTAGGGACCCAAGTAATTCAGCCATCAACTGATGCCTCCCAGGGTGAGCATTAGCAGGAAGTTGTATAGGAAGTGGAGGTGTTATTGGAATCCAGGCACTTTGCACATTTGCATTTAATGTGTATAATATCCGGTCTCCTAGGCTTTACATTAGAGAAGAAAAACAAATTATATATGAATCTATAGTGTCTCATAATTTCCTAAGGTGGCCACAGTGAATTAGGTTAATGGGAAGCTGAATCTATATAATGTCATAATCCATATTTATATTGTACCATAAATGTATGACTTTTGTAGAAACAAACAACCATAACACCAAACATCTGGATGAAATCTGAAAATTTCAGTGACATATCCAGATATCTCTACACATCTGGAATTTTTAGATTTAATGTTCCAACTGCTTCCATTTTTGTCTGGGCACTTGAAACACTGTAGACACTGTCTAACAAATATTTATTCACATCATAAATATGTGAAAACATGGAAAGAATCATTGTACAAATACAATTTTCAGATTTAATCATATTCCAGTGACTAAAGTGGCTCTGGCAGTTAATGTAGACAACCCAATGTCAACAGGCCCTGCAGACTTAACCAAGTAGTTCAGCGGCAAAGTGGGGAGTTGAAGTGAAGAATTCAAACCAAGAATGCTTTAAGGTAAGAATGAACAAGACAGAAAAGAAAGCTTCTCCACTTCTCTGCCTGCAAGGATAGACATATGTCTGCCTGCCAGTGGGGTCCCTCAGCTAGTTCCAAGCCACCAGTGAACTCTGCTCTGCAGATCTGCAGCTGTGCGTTGAGGTTGGTGGTGCTTGATGGAAGGGGTATAGGGATAGAATACATTGCATGACTAACAATTGAAACCCTATTTATTGGGCTGCCTCTTGCCTTTATCATTGATTTTAGCACAAAGCTGGTGA